AATGAAACCAGAGAGCGTTGACAGAGAGGAGAAGGTAGAAATGACTCAGCCTGTAACTGAAAATATAGATGGAGGACAACAGTTTAGCTTGTTAGCTTTTGTGCTAGCGTTGAGCTAATACATAACGTTGGCGCTAACGCTAAAGCTAACAGGCTAAGCTGAGGTTCTTCTTCCATGAAGCAGCTCTGTTGTCCTCCATCCATATTTTTAGTTACAGGCTGAGTCATTTCTACCTTCTCCTCTCTGTCAACGCTCTCTGGTTTCATTTAAAAGAGCTGGTCATCAGAAATTGTCCAAGATTAACCTCCAGGGTGGATATAGATCGCTAGCAGCCAGACACCACATCATCATTTACCCAGAATGCTTTGCGTGTAAATAAAATGGCCCCGTCCATGTAATATATTTTTAAACTTTTAGTTTAAAAAGGATGAAAACTAAACATCCTACAGTATTTTTACAGTCTTTATTTCACAGTTAAAATATACGTTTATCAAATGAAGTCTAATGTTACAACTAATCGGGGATCCCTTTAAATCCTTCTTTTTCACATTTAAATCATCCAGTTGGGGTCTATGTCAAGTGGAACTGCTATACTTTGGTCTAAATTCCTTGTTATTGTAGCTCCACAAGCACCTGTTTCATCCCTTTTCTGAGACACACCGCCCCCCTCCAGGTCTCTCCCCCCATGATCATTGTCCACTCCATGCCATTCTAACATTTTTGTAGTTTGATAGCAGATAGAATTTTCTAGCAGTGCAGAAACTTTTTATTTACAAATTATTAAAAGACGCCAACCATTGAAGACTTGCCCGTCCAGCCTTATAAGCAGAGTCTGACCCAGAGTGAGAAGAGAATGAAGATGATGAACCTGCAGAACCCCACATTCGCAAAATTGGTCTTTTTGCTTTTCTGCACTTCTAGACACTCCAAGTACACAGCAAAACAATGAATTTAAGGGGTAAAAAAGTGGATTTTGCATGATATGTCCACTAAAAGTCTAATAATGGGACAACATTTTGTCAAGTTGAATTTCATTACAGTTGCAATCTTTTGAATAAGTTGTCTAAATGTAAGATTTGATTCAAAGACACCAATGAGAGGATAGAACCGATCCACCACATCAAGTCTCTCTACATTCACACGATCACTTGGTCTGTTATAAAACAAACATATACAGGGTTTTTTTAGATTAAGATGAAAACATTTGTTGCGTTTATAGATTTTCCCATTAAGTGGCAGGTGATTGTGGTAAACTGTCTAAAAGATATATGTCTCACCAGCTGCCTCCTTTGTAAAGAGAATACACAAAGTCTGATCATAAAAGACTTTGGTTGCCAGATTATTAAAGTCAAAAACCCAGTTATGGTGCCCATAATTAATGACGTTGAACCAGTTGACCCAGAATGATGTTGGGCTTGTCTTTGTGAAAAGACTAACGGCAATTTTTTTCTTTTTCCCTTTTTTTTCAAAAGTCTCATCAGAGGCAACACAACAAGGACAAACCCTTCAAATGCTCCAATTGTTTCCGTGCCTATTCAGACTCGGCCTCGCTGCAGATCCACCTGTCTGCACACGCCATCAAAAATGCCAAGGCCTTCTGCTGCAGCATGTGTGGCCGGGCTTACACCTCAGTGAGTCCGGCTCCTTTTCCTTCTTCTGTTTGGTGCGCTGAAACAAGCCAAGGTGGAATGTAAAWGTGTCGTGTTTCTCTTCTCTCCAGGAGACATACCTAATGAAGCACATGTCCAAACACGCCATGGTGGAGCACGTTGTGTCCCACCACCACTCCCCCCTGCACAGGACTGACTCGCCCACCATTCCTATACGGATTTCCCTCATCTGAGCCCAACTCCCACCCTTCCTTTCAAACTCTAAAGGACCATTTCACTCAAATATCCGTTTCAAATTCATGCCTGTGCTCGGAGAAGAGGTGCTCCTTTCAACGGCTGCATTGTTTGAAAGTTTTAATGGGATCATCCAAAGATGATTTCAGCACTTTCAGGCCTGGGAGTGACAGGCCGAGTATTTTTATTTCATTTTATTTTTTATGTGACTTGACTGAAAACATCGAATTGCTCCAGGCAGCTACAGAGAGAACCTTTTTAAACTTTTACAGATCACTTTTATACACTCCTTTACTTTCTCCCCTCAATTCTTGGCAGAGAAGTTATATTGTCGCCATAATTAGTCTTCCATTACCCAACATGACGAAATAGGCGTGTGTATTCATCTGTGTCGAATCACCTTATTGGTTAGCGTTAGTAAGGTTTTTATTCATTGCATGGCACAACCACGCACATCTTTCTTCAATGTTTTTGTAATTTCAATGGTTTCCTGAACTTATTTCATGATTAAAATGTGATAAATAGTACAGCCATTTGAAAAAGAGAAGGATTGAAAATTGTCTTTTTCGGAACAGATTTCAAAAGTAAATCTTAAAGAAAATGTCCAAAGATAGTTGAGAAACTACAACGGAGTATTAGGGCCACACAACGAGATTTTTTTGTTTATTGTTACGAGATTAAAGTCGTAATATTACCAGATTAAAGTCATATTTTAACAAGATTAAACTCGTAATATTACGAGAAAAAAAATTATAATCATGACGTGTCTATTTTCCATTCCTCATTTCCTCCTTATTTTCCCCACACCTGCTGTACAGCCATGTATCTGTGTCTGTGTTTATAAAGTAGTCAACGATGACTCGTCACTGTTAGATTAATATGCTTTCATCCAAATTAGCTACGTGACGACTAAATCCGTCAATGCATCCATTAATTACAATGCGGCTTCAGTTTATAGTTGTTTGCACAATTTCCAAGTCCTGCTACTGATAATTTGATGCTAATGTGCTAAAAGATTATTTATTTATAGCAATACTAAAGAACAACCTGACAAGTTGCTCAACATTCCTCATTTTAATGCAGTGGTAACTGCATGCTTTTTTCGTGTAAAAGCTACAATATAATGACTTTTTCTCATAATATTATGACTTTAATCTCCTAATATTACGACTTTAAACTCGTAATATTACGACTTTAATCTCGTAATATTACTTAAACTCGTAATATTACGACTTTAATCTTGTAATATTACTTAAACTCGTAATATTACGACTTTAATCTCGTAATATTACGACTTTATTCTCATAATATTATGACTATTTTCATATGACTTTAATGTCGTAATATTATGACTTTATTCTCATAATTTAAAAAAAATTTAAAAATCTTGTGTGGCCCTAATACCCCGTCATAAGAAACATCACATTGAATCCCTGTTTTTTTAAAGCTATCAGTTGAATTGATGTAAATCTGTCTCCGTTGTGGAATATTTCAGTGCATATTCCACATTTAGGTAAACTTTATTAACGGTGCAGACTTTAAAGTCAAATAAATGTCACCAAGCTATAAAAATAAAAATAAAAATTTAAAAGAGTGAACAAAAACCTAACGCAATCTGAAAATACAACCCAGAGTCACACAAATACCATTACTGTACTTTTGCAATAGGAATGTACTCAATCTGGGTGTTTTGCGTTACAAAAAGTGTAACACATAGAATTTGTTGTGGCTGACAGCAAAAAAATTTTCAACCAGCTTTGTGTTTACAAGACCGTTTGATGCAAATGTGGCAGATTGTAAACATTTATAATAAAGCTGTCCACACCAGGGAAGATACTGACCTCTCATAAAGCCTCCATACAACCCCACTTCAGAGCAAATGATAAACAATAAATTAGACTTTCTTGACAAAATGCAATGAGAAACCATCACACAATCTGTTAGCACTCAAAGTATATGCTGGGGTATAACTCTCAGCTACTACCATACCAAGTTTGAGCTCATAATCTGTAAAATTGACTGAGTCATGGTTAGATTTGTGTTCAAATGGATTAGCTGTGGTGTGCATCTTGAATCAGGTTGACTTTAAAAGTCAATCAGTTGTAGATGTGCATTCAATTATTACTTTCGAAATGGAGCTTTTTCATGAAATATTTTGCTAACAGAGACAAATGTGGCACAACTGACATAGGTAACTGCATGATTACCTGTCGTTGATGGCGGCAGGTGAAACTTTTATTTAAACAAATTTAAGTTGTTCCATTTATGATTTCTAGCTTTTATTATACATACAGAGGGTTTTTTTTTAGCTTTTAGACAATTTTAGCAAAAAGCTTATTAAGTTTTTAAAAATAAAACAAAAGATAATTGTTTTATTATTTTTATTAATTATTTATTATCTGAACAGATGTAGATGAGACTGAGGCAAAGCAGAATGTGACATTCTCTGAACTTAAAGTAGGCTGACACAAATAACCTTAAAGGAATAGTTTGGATTATTTGAAGTTGGGTTCTGTGGAGCAGGTATCATTAGTAAGTATCTTACCTGTAGTAGACAGACGTTTTTGTAAAAACGGGCCAGGCTGACTTCTATTCAGACTGAAACCTGTTTTTTTTATATGAATTATAATACTTAAGACCCCCTCACGTGTTCATTCACAGTTATTTTAATTGTTTTTTTACGGTGAATTAATGTCTTTTGTTTTCTCTAGTTGAAGATATTTTCCAAACAGCCATCCAAAAGCTATTTTAAAAGGTTTCAGCTAATAAATATATAAATTGTCACTTTTGTTACGTATTTTAGTGTTAATCATAAGTACTGTTTGATTAAAAAATAAATATTTGTTTATTTAAATATGTTAAAAGTTCTCAGTGTACGTTGAGTGATTTATTTTTTCCATTACTGTGTGTTTTTAGTTTTTTATGTCATATCACCATTGTTAGTGCTTCATTCTGATGCCAAATACAGTATGTCCTCAAAGATAAAAAGCCACTCAATAAATTAGCCCTAAATTATGACTATAAATGTGAGAGCTTGTGGGTTACAGCAGCATTACACGTAAGGCAAATTTTTATATTTTGGTTCTGTTCAATTCTGTTTAAAAAACGTGAGTTATTTACATTTTTATACATTTAGTCAGGTTTATTGGTGTGTATAAAAGTGGATGTTAGTCAATAATGTGATAATGAATCATGTTTAACGTCCAACTTTACCATGGTTGCTCTCCTGTCACAAAGAAGGAAGTTAATATAAACCACACTTTCTGTCTGCGTCTACAGACAGAAACGTTCAAATGTATAGAAACAGAAACCACCGTAAAAGTGGAAGTGTCGAACATGAATTTCTTTTTGTATTGTTTTATGGATTTATATTTATATCAGCCTTAACTTTACTACGAGTCTTACTTTTTATTTACTCAGCATTTGCCTTTTCTGTCAGAGCATGTTAAATTCTGTAAATAAACTATTAAAAGTGAATCAGTTTTTAACAAAATGTTACGTTTTTTTTTTTTTAGCTTCCTAACAGGAACTGACGCAAGTGAGGAAGCATCATTTAGTATGACAGTATAAGTCTGCCATTACTTGAAGGAAACCTTTCATGTCAGCATTTTAAATTAAAATAATGCTAAGGCTCTAAATGCTTGATCTCGTGATAACGTTCACAGAATGTGCTGCCTGGAAGTGTGACGGGTTACATTCAACCTATTTAGACAAGGATAGATATTTGTCATGGAAAAAGTTCCAGCTGCTTCAAATAAAGAGTAAGACATTTTAATATTGGTAGAAAAAAAATCAAATGGTTTTTGTTTGAGTTTCTTTGACCCAGTTTTGAATGCTTTCAAAAGCAGAGCCGTTGCAGCTCAAGTTTTTGAAAGCATTGATGCTTTTGTTTTCATACTGTTGTGAAACTGGACCCAGAATTCAGCTTTAGAGACAAAGGAGATGAGTAAGCTAACTGAAAAATAGCAATAAACGCTGGCAGGACCAAACCAGCACACATGACAAGTAGGATATAACACTGAAGAAGAAGAAATCAGGACTGGACTACACACACACACACACACACACACACACACACACACACACACACACACACTGTAGTAAGCCACCTAAAAGTAAGTGGGAAAATACTAGATTATAGTCTGAATCGTCTTACTTTAAGTCAGGGGTCTGCAACCTGCGGCTCTGGGGCCACCTGTAGCTCTTTGGTCCCTCAGCAGTGGCTCTTCGAAAATGTGGCCAAACATAACAGAAAATTTTTTGTTTGTGTATTTTTTTAATATCCCAAACAAAAATCAATTTGTATGCAAATATGTGATCAATACTAAGTAAAACATGCTAGCCTGTTATGTACTTTAAGTGATCCAACTTCTTTCTATGATCTTTCTTTCAAATCCGTCAGAATTACCTTTAAATAATTTGAAGACTACATAATAATAAGAATTAGAAAAAAATGTCTGAATAGTTTAGTTGGACTAGTTTTTCTGAAATTCATTATAAACTATTAAATACAGTATTTTTCTTGTTTACATGAATATGGTCTTTCCATTCATCCTGATGTGTAAAAATAATTGTAAATAACAAAATTCACAGTATATATTTTTTGTTTTATAATGTCACCTCCACTGGCCGTAAAGATTCCCAAAAAAGCCTCGAAAAGGTCCACGGACCACTAGTTGATAATCACAGTTGTAGCTGGTTTTTCAGCTCTGGACATATTTTATTAGTGAGCCAAGTAGCAGAAATGGCTCTTTTGATCGTAAAGGTTGCAGACCCCTGCTTTAAGTGAAATATTCTGCCAGTACAGTAAGGCAATTACACCTCCTAAAATAAGATAAAATTCCAGACTATATCTACCACTTTCTGCTCTTGTTCCTATATCAGTCTCAAAACAAGATCAAAAATACTTTTGGACGAATATGAGTGTAAAACTTGTTTAGATGAAATATTTTTGCAGTGTTTCTATGTTTATACAGAATACTAGAGGGAGCGAGGGATTCAAAATGATATTAAGCAAACGAGCTGCACAATCTGACCTCATTCTGCATTTACATCTGAACTGCCTCCGGAGCAGGAAACGTGAAACCTCAGGTAGTAAACAAATGTTCTCAAAGTCACACTGTCACATGAAACTTTATTACAGCTTCTCCAGCTTCTTCTCTCACCTTTCATGACTTGTGACACCTCCACTTAGCTGCGGCTCATTTGGTCTGAGCATCTGCTAACGTCTGACTTTCAACACAACAGAAACATATATTCAGTCTCGTGTCAATTTACTTCTGTAAAAAAAAAAGAAGCGTGATAAGCAACTAGATTTACTTTTTACTTTTTTTTTTTAGTTGGCRCGTTTTATTTTATTAGTTTTTTTTTGTTAGTTTTTTTTATTTTTTATTTTTGTTCCCGTGTCCTTGTGCTTCCTACCTTCTGAAATCCTGTTAACTTTAAGAGCATGTTTGTCCAATGTGACTAGATGTGTAGATTGATGTTTGTCCAGTTTGCTTTCAAACTCTCTTGGGCAAAATACTGA